ATCAGTTTATTCTCTCTCTCTCTCTCTCTCTCTCTCTCTCTCTCTCTCTCTCTCTCTCTTCTTTGCTTCACTAAAGTTTATATATAGGCTAGCATTTGAATTAATCCTCTGATCTACAATTGATCAAAGTGCTACCAGGAACTGAAATAGCAAAACCAGGAAAATGCCACTCGTGTTCCCTTTTTGAGAAAAGTTGAGGAGACATATAATTATCCCACCTACAGAATTTGCTTATCTGCCATGCCCTGCTTTTATCAGGGCTGTGTTCTGACAAGTGCATTGCTAATTTAGGCTTCAATTCTATACCCACTTACCTGGGAGTGGGCGTAAACTCAGTGGGACTTACTTCTGGGTGGGCATGCATAGGACTGGATTATTAACAGATTTCTCCAGGCTGTAATTTACACCAGTGAAGTGGAACAGTAAAATCAGGCTTCCAGCAGTTTTTTTTTTCCCCTGGTACTGTGTATTCAAAACAGCTAGGTGGCCCTATTGTAGGTGTGGCCACTTTACAGAGTTGCAGAGAGATGCAACATTTGCATTCCTGTGAGTTCAGAAGCCCTTTTTGCTTTTGAATCCAAAGGGCTGCATAGCCCTAGGATTCAATATTATTTTTAATATAATCATCTGATATTTCTCTAACAGAGCTTAAGTGGGCTGTCTTCAACTGCCTGAGGGATTAATTACAGCTTAAGGTATTTTCAGTGCCATACTTGGTTTGGGGAGCAGCAATTATTTTGGTTTAGTTTTGAACTTTAGAATTCTTTTCTAAAAGAATATTTTCCAGAAGGCACTTCAGAAGCTACAAATTTATTTCCAGTCTTCCATACTGCTGATAATATTATTAGAGCAATCACGTGCAGCCCATGCGGAATGGCTGAATTATCAAGAGATTGCTTCAAGTGTAAAAAGTGTCAAGAGATTGCTACCAAGAGTAAAAAGTGTCACCTGACTGCTCAGTCACTTTATAGCATTTTTGTCCATAATGGTATCCATAATAACAGGATGGGCAGAATTCTCTGCTTTAAAGTTAATTTAGTTGTTTGCTTATGTAAAAGATCTGTATGGCTGCCCACCTTAAAACACAACTCCAGGCAGCTCACAACAGTAAAACCCCAAACTATAAAAACCATAAAACATAAAAACTGATTGGATATACACTTGCACAAAATGCAGTGCTTTTGTCAAGTATTGTGCTACAAAGCATCATGATAACATGATATTATGCATCAAAAATATTTCAGATCAATGGACTCTGCCAGTCCATGCTTCCTTAGAAATTAATCCCACTGAGTTTAATGGAGCTTACTCACATACAACCTATATGCGTGGGAAAGTCTGTCTTGACTCCTGGTGGCTAACTGGATAAGTCCATGAATTTTCCTTGGCAACATTTTTGGAAGTGGTTTGCCACTGCCTTCTTCCTAGGGCTGGGAGAGAGTGACTGGCTCAAAATCAACCAGCTGGTTTTGTGCCTAAGGCGGGACCAGACCTTGGGTTTCCCCAGTCCTAGTCCAGCACCTTAACTATTAGGTCAAACTGGCTCTCCATGTCTAACGTAGACTAAATAAAAACTGCACTTTTTTTGAGAGGAGCATAATATGACAGGTGTGTCTGCGAGAAGTGGAATTACATTTATGTTCCATTCAATTTTTTCTTTCTTTAGCCCTCCCTTATTGGTTCTAGTGGGTCAGAATAGTAGTTATATCGCCTTCAGCTTGCCATAGAGTATCCTGATCCAAAGGTCTTTCTGGTGAACAAAGGAGCTTTAGAATTAATGACCTCACTATTTCCCATGTGCCCCATATTGGGGCTATTGTTGAGAAGACCACTCAATACATTTGCATCCAGCTAATGTTCTATGGATAGAATGTGGCCTCATATAGACCCTAAATCAATGGAGAAGCATCTCCACCCTCATCTAAATCCCACCTCGATAGCTTTCCAGGGGTGGAAAGGATTGCTCTGCCCATTAAAAGTTATCTGAGTTATCTGGGTTGTCTGAGGGACTGCCTATCCCCAATTACATCAACCCGTTCCATTAGATCTGGCAGAGAGGGCATGCTGCAGGTACCATCTGCTAGGGACTTACACTTGGTGGGTCCCAAGAGGTGGGCCTTCTCTGCCATGGCACCCACCTCATGGAACATTCTCCCCCCACCCCCGAAGTCAGGTTAGCTCCATACCTATTAATGTTCCAGAAGTCCCTCAAGACTGGGTTTTGTCACCAGGCCTGGGGTTCTCAGGGAACTGGCTCCGTTGTGATTGATATATTTACTCTCTCCATGCCTTGTGGTTTGTATATTTTAAATTTTTAATAATATTTTAATTGATTTTTTATATTTTTATAATGATTGTTTTTTATGTATTGTTTTATTCAATTGTTGTACGCCACCCAGAGCCGCTTTTTGTGAGATGGGGGGGGGTGTCACATAATTTGATTAATAAATAATAAATACTGCACTTTCATTAACCATTATTTCACACTCATTTCATCCATAGCTATCGGTTTCCTTTAAACCATCTTTAAACCATAACAGATAAAAAGAAAAGTCAAACACTTTCAAATGTTTAGAGTTAACATAAAAGAAATGGGAATCTTTTTCCTTCTCCGAGAAATGCATGTGGTTCTTCACGACAGCGTAATCTGCCTAGACATAGGGCCCATTTTCATTTTGTTGATCTATGTCACCGTATTTATATATCACCTCAAGAAAAGACACAGAATTGCCACCAGTTCTGCTGGGGGTCTGTCCCTGTCAAAGAACATCAGAGACTCCGCAGGGACTGTTTGATTCTGCCTCCATCCTCTCAGTCCCCCACATGCTGTTGTGGTGGAGATGGCAATATTATCCACCCCCCACCCCCCACCACCAATAAAGAGCCTACGGTTTCCAGATTTAGGCCACTGAAGGTTACAAAAAATATCTGCCAGCCGGTAGCAACCACTGGTGTGTTTACGCTCATTTCCCTCTCCAAGGCCTCCAAAGTGGCTTCAGATTTTGTATGTTTTATAATCTCATAAATTACCTCTTGATGGCAGTGTTTCCTAAAGTAGGTAAAAGCCCAGCTTAAATGAAGACACAGTGATGAGGGTGATAACTAAGGCTTCTAAAAATGTACTTCCCCCCACAAAAAAATTAAGCCCTAAGTATGAAAACCAAAAAACAGAGTGAATCCTAATAGCATAATGCAAAAAAAAAAAAAAAAAAAAGCAGACAGAAAGCCCTTCCCTTCCTTTAGTTGGCCAATTAAATGTATTTACTTGCACGTTTATTTGATAACTGGGGCTACAAGTAGCTTTGGGCCACTTTATTTCCAAAGAGATGCTCTGAAGGTAGACTACATACTGTATGCAGAAAATTGAGTACAGAATCACAGTAAATGAAATCAAAACTTCAGAGTACCAGGAGATAGGCAAAAATCTGGGATCGGGTCAGACCCAGCTTGGGTGCCCAGCAGACGGTACTAGCTTGATGTAGCGGGTACAAGACCCCATGTTCCAATCCTTCTCCGATTTCTTTAGCTGAACTTGTTATTCTCACCATGTCCCTACGAGGGAGAGTCAGCCAACTTCTGACCTTAAAGAGACCTCTCAGGGGGAGAGCCGGGGTCTGGGATACACATTGTTATCGCACCTGTTGAATTTCCGCCTGCCGCGCAGGTGGGGAGGGAAGGGACCTCTGAACTTTTGACTGGGCGGCAAAGTGAGCGCCACCCTCAGCCTCGCGGAGGCGCGCGAGG